TTACATTGTGGGGAATTACAGTCAATGTCATGAGACAAAATGTGTATGAACTCCTGTATGGAAAATAAATTTGCTCTGTAAACTTTCACCCAAATTACAATATTTTTTTTTTTTTTTTAAAAAAGAAAAGATATTGTTAGACTTGAAAGTTAATTTTTAAAGAAATATGTGTATCTCTTAGATTCCTAGCTAGACAGCTAGAAGTCACAATAGTTCATATTTAATGAAGTGGATGACTTGGCTGGTGTAATAAATGATACAATGTTGTGATGAATTTTATTCCTTTCCTTCTTACCTTCCACTGTTACCACATTTATTGGATTTGAGAAGTGTGATTTCTTTCAATTAATTCTAACCAGAACAAAGATCATATAAAAGGTCTACATTAAGGCACCTAACAATTCAACAATGGCACTCACCATGTGCCAGTGTAAACAATTCAATTTCCATGGCAAAAGAAAGACAGCTGATTATTTTTTTCATATCCTTTCTTACACTCTGCTGGCAATTCATTATTAATATGTCTTGAGAATAAACAGTGGCACTATGTCAGAAGAAGATACCTAGCTACTTTTCTTAATCTTACCATCAAGTTTTACAACTCTCTCTTTTTTTTTTTTTTCAGGGACCTTGACTCAAAAGCTTAGCATAGTCTAGAAAAAACTTTATGATAGGAAATTTGATTCAAATTCTGTTAATATTATAGTTCTAGGGAGCGCTGGTGGTGTAGTGCCTAAGGCATTTGACTGCTAACCAGAAGGCTGGTGGTTCAAACCCACCAGCCACTCCTCGGAAGGAGGGTTGGGCAATCTACTTCCATAGTGATACTGCCTCGGAAACCCAAAGAGGGGTCACTATGAGTCAGGTTCGACTCAATGGCACATAACAAGTGAAATATAATATTTTAAAATCTACATAAGAAGTGTAAACATTTGAAAAAATGAATGGAATTTGCTAAAAATTATGAACATTAATAACAGTAATAAGGGGGAATATTCAAAATAAAACTACTCAGTTTATATCTGAACTGTATACAGGGTTCTAATTAATCAATAACTCATTGGTCTCATTCTATAAGATGGTAGCTTGAGAGGATTCTCACTGCCATCAAGAGAGAAGAGCCAGACCAGAGACACAAAAGACCTGTACAAAGAAAACTATAAAAGACTACTTCAAGAAACCATAGGAGATCTACATAAATGGAAGAACATCCCATGCTCATGGATAGGA